CCCCCCCCCCCCCCCCCCCCCCCCCCCCCCCCCCCCCCCCCCCCCCCCCCCCCCCCCCCCCCCCCCCCCCCCCCCCCCCCCCCCCCCCCCCCCCTTAAGCAAAGAAGTTAATGATTTCATTTGATTTATAGAATAACTTAAAATATTCTATCTCACATGGGTTATTTCTAAAGAATGATGACGACAAACATAGATATCAAAAGAAAAAAAAGCAGAAATAAGAAAATTATTGCGCCGGCACAAATTTGATCTCTAGACTGCACGTCATCTTGAGTTTCAGAAAGCGACAATAATTGCTGTAAGACTAAAACAAGTATGAGCTGATTTATCGTTCCCAAGTACCTTCTCAGTACTGAGTGCTGCTTTTTTCTCACTTGATGTGCCCGATTTTATAAAGAATCTAGTTTACTTACTGTATCACCATATACGACTCTGCCACCAAATTTTGGATTTGTTTTAACAAAATCTATGGCTCTTCCAAGTACAGTACGTGCAGTATGAACAATTGTATCGCCAAGCTAAAAGAAATTAAACAAAAAAAGAAAAAGAAACTTTTTTATTTTATAAAATTAGACTCAGGTATTACCTCAACTGCAGGCATTCGGCCGCTATAATTTGCTGATGTATAACCAAAAGTAACATTCGCAACTAAAATATGATGATGGAGAGAGAATTATGAATTGTCGTTTTCAGTTCAGGAAATAAACTTACTCAGTTTTAAACATAATTGTCTTGCATCTAATATTCGGTATAATGTTGAATTTTGTTTAATTAATTTCATTGTACTTTTAATCATGACTCTTGTTGATAATATTTCTTCTAACATAATTGGTAATATTCCACGACGAATATGTGGCAATACAAATGCACATCCATTAGGTGAACAAAAGAGATCATTATCAAAATCAATTTTATCTAATATTTCATCTGAAATTGTCAATGATGTACAACCAAATTTAAATGGTCCTTGTTTATTTAATTGATCAATACGACCAAGACACGTTGAAAAACATAAATTATAAGCAATAATTATTGATGGATATAATGATTGAAAATCAAGTACAGCTATAGGAGAAAAATAAATATTTGACAATGGTTCTAATGTAAGAGGGATACATTCAGGTGCACGCATATGCAAACGTTGATAATTATCTGGTGTTACAGTGACATAAGATAAACATTTGGCTAAACGAATCATCATTGATTCAACACGATATTGACTGCCACGTGATAAAACTTGATAAAATTCAATACCATATACACGAGCAAATTCTGATGTTTTATTTAGTAAATCTAATTGATATAACAGACGAAAATTTCCAACTGTTCGTGTCCAAAAATAGTCGAGTAAACACGATATATTGCGTAAACCATAGGATTCAATAAACCGATCTAGAACAAGGCATCTAAGAAAGTCACATATTTCAGTATAAACAAATTAGTTGTAGGAAAATATATTTTCTTCGAATGAATTTCAATTTTTTAAGGCAAATACAGAATAAATCATCTTTCATAGGATAAATGATAACTTTCTCAATCATAAAGTGAAGAATTATTTGCTAGATTCATATTAAAAACATAGTAGCAGCACCTTTAAGGTGAAACAAGTCAATTAATATTTTGAAAGTGCATGACATTCGACTTACCATTTGTATTATTTTGACCAGTAAACCATTTTGATAATAAATCTAAATTATATTTTGGTATTCTTTCATGTAATACATGATAAACAACATTTTCAAAAGTATAAACATTTAATGTTACTTCACTTCGTAATATTTTCCATAAATCTAATAGTATTCGACCTGCAATAACTGGTAATTCTGTACCATCTGCTTGCATTTGTGTTCTTATACGATGAGAATTTTCTTTTTGCTTTGGTATACGACTTAATTGGCTTAATAAATCGAAATTATATTTTTGATATGCACGTTTTATTAAATAGTTTAATCCTAGCTTTATATCATAACATGTCAATATATCTGGATCGTATTGTTCAACAATTGTTATAAATTTCAATATTAAATCTTTTTCATTAGAAAATAATTCAATGGAATGTTTATCTTGGTTAAATGTTTTTAATATTGATACTGGATCATCATGATAAAAATATTTATCACAAATTAGAGCACATGTTTCACATTGCCATCCGGACATTGTTTCATTAGACACTGTAAAAAATATACAACATATTTCATCTTTTTCTAATAAATAAGCAAATTGTTCTTCTGTTTTACATAGTAATTCAAATGATAAAATTGTTAAATATTGACATTCATGTAATAAATCATCCATATTAAATTGATCTATACGAAAACCATGACTATTATTTAATGTTGCTTGATCTATCACTGATAAATTTCTTGAACAAATCGGTTTAGCTGCAAATTTTCGCAAAAATGCATTTGTAATTGTAGATTGTTTATGAAATAAATTTGTACGTGATTTTGGTTCATTACGTAAAGGTAGTGAACAAGTCAATGATAAATAACTTGATTCTAAATTTGTTTGAATTTGTTTTCGTGATCGTTTTAAGCTTTTTTTCTTTCTATGTTTTTGTATACGTTCAGACAATAATGAACGAAAACATCGTGGTTGATGAACGCCTGTTTTCTGTTGTTGAACACTTGTTGTTGATGATGAACGACGATATCGTTGAGATGTGGATGATAGACTTGTATTGAGTTTTTTCTGTTGAGAGAAAGATTGACCTGAATCACTGTCTTTGTCTTGTGTTTCTAGTGCAAATGATATATCATTCCATGAATCATCCAAAATTTGTGTATTATTTTCGTTTAATAATGATGCGCTGGAAAAAAATCAAAAAAGAAACAGAAATGAATAAAACTTGTACAAACGGAAAACTGAATGTATTAACGGGTAAGGTGACCAATTTCATTTAAAAAGGAAGTGCTGAACATTTTACTACTACACACGTTCGTTCCTACGATAAATTCAATTTAACTGATTTCATCTGTGACGTACTTGTTCAAATCAATTTTGTTCTTGATGTTCATTTGTCTATAATATTTTGGATGGGGTGGTTGTAACAACGGTTCATACCATTGTGTAATTCTACAATCAATAAACATATATTACAAGAAAAAATGCACAACAAGTAACTTATAGCAAAGTTACCGATCATTATGAGGCATGGTATAGGCATTATTTGATTCTGTCGAATCAAAATGACAGTGAGAGTGTTTTGAGACATATTCTGGAATTGCAGAGAACTAAAAAAGACCATTTGTTTTTTATTTATAGTCTAGATGAGAGAAAGTTCATTCATACCATTTTCACTCGTTCTGTTTCGTCTTCGATATCTTGACAAACAATATTTGTTGCTTTTTTTCGACTATAAGCACTTAATTTTTTCTTTGGTGGTCTTTGACATGTTTCTAACCAGCAATAATCTACTTTCGTTTCTTGTCCATTGACAAAAAATTTTTCTAACGCAATTTTCTGATTTTTTATTCGCTCTTCTTCCATCTTATCAGAACCATTGGTTCCATCCACTGTGATTTGTTGTACTAATATATCATCTGACAATTTGTAGTCGACATCACCATTTAATACTAGATGAATACAAATTAAGTGAAACATATAATAAGATGGACTCAAGAAATATACCTTCAGCTATTGCAGGAATATAAGGTGGTTCCACTGTATCTTCATTCGATAATTTTCTTTTCAATGTAGTTGATCTTGAACTTAGTGATCTCAAAAAGTGAAAAGAAAAAAATGAATTCTTGTCCTCATACAAGATGGGCCTATCATTGATAGTTGTTTATCAACAATCAAATACCTCTGCGGTTGCTCATCATCAATTAATTCGTCTTCATCAGCAATATGTTCGATCGTTTTCGTATTAACTGAATGAATAAGATTTATGTTTACAGCAACAGTATTGTTGTTAATCAACTGTATTTTACCTGCGAGTATACTGTCATTTTCTACTGCCTGTGAATCATCAAGATCAGCTAATAGATCAGCTAAACGATCGATATCGGCATTCTGAGCTACAAAACAAAATTAAGAATAATCATACTTGTTGCTAAAGAAATCATATGGCTACTATATTTACGTGAATTTTCATCAGCTAATAACGCTGCATGCTGACTATTTGAATTGATTCTTTGTATTTGAACAATATCCACAGTGGCAGTGGCTTCATCTCGATCTATCTTTACGGTTGATTCTTGTTCATTTGATAAAATCAACGGCTTTTTCGCTCTTAAATAAAAATAAACTCTAAGCTAGAATTTAGATGTAAGTAAATGAATGAAGCAAATTTTTGGCTTTCTTCTGTACAATACGTATATGGATTGATGTCACTAGCAAAATTTTTCACCTAATCAAATTACACAAATTGCATAATGGCGGTTTTTTATTCATAATTTCATTCGTTTGAGAGTAAGCGTAAGATGCTTTTGTAATTTCTAACCATTAAAAATCCTAAGGTCCATAGTGTAGAGGACCTAGGGTGAACTGAGTTCTTTGTGTACAACGAAGACGTACCTTTTTGAAACAAATACTTTTAATTTTTCGCGATTCTTGATTTCGGCGTCAAACGGATTTGCATTTGGACGTTCTTAATAATACAACAACATATAATACATAGACGTTTTCACATAGATTTCGTCTTTTCCTACCCGGTGATGTTGGTGGTGTCAGAGGTTGATGAAGTTTTTCTTTTTGACGTCTTGATCTTTCTCCATCCCAAAGGGCTTGCAATCCCGGATTTGAAATACCCTGTCCTACGAATATAGAAAAATTATTTTATCAAGAATACAAAAGTTTAGACGTACACCTGTCGTTGGTCTTTTGTTTTGTATGTCATTGATACAAACATCATATTCAAGTTCACACGATGATACACGCTCAGAACTTGATAGATGGATCGATCTAAAATTTTCAAAAAAACACATGAATAATGAACGAAAGTTTAATCAAATAATATGTAATCATCAAAAACGAAATAATTATAAGTACTTATTACATGAAACTCACACATCTGAGCTTGTGCTCGAATTCGATGCAACTTAAATAAAGAAATATTACTCCATATAGATCAATTACAAAATTATTGCAATGTACTAACTCGTTTGTGATGATTTTCTTAATTTTCCATAACGAAATAGAATAAAATTCATACCATATAAATTATAATCAATGAAAAACTGAAATAAACAAATAATCATAAAAAGCTAATCTAGTTGAAAATAGTCTTGCTGGTGAATCACTTGTAAATTGAGTGGTACATGGGCTTCGTGTGGCTGGAATGATTGATTCATAACTGCACCACCTAACAAAAGATCAGATGCTCTAAATAAACGAAAATATATTTATTTAATTATTCAAACTCAATAAAAATAAAGTCCCTTGACACACCTAGACATACTTTCGAATTACTTGTGGATTATAAAAATATATTTTCCAAAACGTTTCCTTCTTTTCATGATAACCATAGATTGGCCTTAAAATACAGAACATTCAATTTAATTATATATTCAATAATCACTTAGAAAACCTTACAAGAGTTGAATAAGGTCAATATCATGGACATGTTGGGCTTGTGAGTCACCATTTCCATATGATAAATTAATCGCTTTATCAAGACTATGAGCCAATTGATGGGCATAACGAATATCATCATTTGTACATTTAATTAGTAAATATGGAAATACACCATGAAGATGAAGACAAACTTTTTTGCCTAAAGTACTATGAGATAAATCAAATACATGAATAACCAACTCTTTTAATCGTTACCATCTTGGTTCGGACCAAATATTCGGATTACTGGCACACGTTTCACATCATGACGAAGTAATTCGGATTGTTTTGGATCAAATTCGGGATTAGCCTCTGCTAAATAATGATCTGTGATAACAATACGAACAGAGAGCATATTCGTCTACAAAAAAAGACTACATCAATAAAGTAAACAAAAATATCAACGCAGAACACACGAATTTTTCTTTCAGCGATGTTGGGATCGCTTCAAATTCTCTATCCACAATTTGTATCGATCACCTTTTACATGGTTGGTCTCACTTTGAAAAAAATTACTGTTAAACTTGCACGTGTTTTTTCTCAAATTTTAGAAATCTTCCAGAGGACTGAAGATCAAGATGCAACAGTCAAAATAAGCTGTCATTAACGACTTCCGCTAAAGTTTGCACTCATAGTCCGACCGATTAAAAGGTCTTCGTGATCTGCCACCTGACACATCCAGCATCAGTAGTAAACACAATGATTGCGTACATCAAATGCAATAACAAAAAAAACTGGGGCAAATTAATACAGAATTTTTGATAAAATACATCATCCAATCTATTGTATAGATATTTTAGTCTTCGCTCATAGCGTCTTTGCATCGATTAGTGGTGCGCTTGAGACACGAATGAAACTACTTAAAGCAACCTCTATTTTGATCGCCTTGTAGATACAGATGGCGCAAAACACCGTTCATGAGCAAAGTGGTCGGTCGGTCAACAAACTGCTAACTTGTCCAGCTCTGACTGTTATGCATTTGAGATAATTTAAACTTCGGCTTTGAATATTAATTTACTCAAAAAACAGATTCTAGTTCGTTTCATTAATATAATAACAACTTAATTAAGTACTTACTCTTGGCTTAATCCTCATTAAGGGTTGATTAAAGTTTGCTTTATATACCACGAAACGTTAAGCATGTTAATGAGAAGACGTGAAAACGTCTAGTCTGTGTTTGAGTCCATGAACATATTCACGGTTGAAGGTAAAACTTTTGAAAGACATGAGTTTTTGAGTATGTACATCCATCAAAAAAACATATTCGAACTCTTTTGTTAGCGTACTGGTAAACTGTTTTTGTCTTTTAGAGTACCTCCGTTAAAGTATTAGTCAACCCTGTGATACTGATGAATTTTTATGTTTCCACGAAAAACTTGCTTCTGAACTATTTTGTACACCTCGTCACCCATTCCGGATGATTTTCAGAAACATAAGTTTTACGAGTGCTTGCACAGCTCACTGTCATCTTTCAAATGAGTCAAGCTTCGTAGAATATTCTATTCTAGAAAAAAGTGGCCGAATTTTCAAGAAAATGGAATTTGTGAAAGATCACTTTTCACGATCGGTCTCATGACTATGGGAATTAACTACTTTCAATATTCTGTCGCAATTCACAAGCATAATATGAACAGTGTAAAAAATATCGTGTAAAAAGCTCTTACTGCTACGGTAACCTGTATCGTACTACATCGTGGCAAAAGGTAATCGAAAATAACTTATTATAGTGAGATGCTATTCGGATAAAGCCATTATACATAAACGGCTTACATGTATCGAGATATACCTGATGATAAAAATTTATCCTCGCTTATGTTGATATAGAAATTGTTGGAATAGATCCATAGGAATATGGCAATCATATTGACTACCCATTGAAAAATTTGGCACTGCTAACGGCCAAACAAACGCGCTGGTTTTTTGAAAAAGAAATAAATCAGTTTAAACTCGTCTTTTCCGAAAAAAACGTGGTTATATGAGGAAGAAGTGGGTTCAAAACATAATACAAAAATGATCTCTCAGTATTGTATTATATCACAATATTTATATTTCGATCTATGCAACGAGTATTTTGATATCGTAACATTCGAGTTTATGGAATAAAAATCAGTTTATCACGATATTTTTCTATTGTATTCTATCGCTAGTTAGCTCCGCCTGAAAAGCTGAATCAGCTATGTAGTTTTATCAGGACTGAATTAGACTTCATTAAAAGCCTGTACCTTCTGATTTAGAGATGAAAATTCTGAGCAGCTAATTCAGTTTTGAATCTGATCACGGAATCATTACACTGGCGGTGCGATCGCATCCCTTCAGATCCCCCCCCGTCAGATTTTTCAGCTCTAAATTAGTTAATAGAAGAGAAGTTTTATATAAAGAACAAAGTTTTTTAAACTCTGAGAAAAACCCAAGTAAAAAATCTTGACTGCAGATCTTGATAAAAACTTGAAAGATTTCGGAAGTTTCTGTTCAGTTCTTTCAAGATCTTATGCAGATTTATCGATATCTGTCAAGATTCTGAGATCATCTTG